TGAAGTGAAGTGAGAGGGGTTTTTGGGGGCTCCTTAGCAGACTGTCTATCCTGAGGCAAAACACAGTGTTGTGCTGAGTGCTCGGGACAGACAACCTCATGACAGGAAGTTGAAGGTAAGTTTGGTGCCATTCGTGGCTGCATCATAGCAGGGAGCTTCAATTTGTGGAGGTGGAGAACCATGGAGATGTTCAGCCTGGGTTTGAATAGTTTCTCCTTCCACTCAGGGTAGCAATGCTTGCTGGCAGAAATTGAATCCTCTCAAATCAAGCCTTGTCTTACGCCACAGACCTTAGGAAAGAGGGGTCTGGAGGAATTCCAAGCTAAAAGATCCCAGCTGGGCTGTCCTCAGTTCCCCTTTCCTTCTGGGATTAGCACAAGTTGAGCCAGGGTGGGTCTATGCTTCCTGTTCTCAGGAATTCCCTGCTACATCCAACCTGGGCTGGTCTCCTTGTTAATCCTTGTCACAGAGCCATGAGCTAGGTGGGCTCCTGCTTAGGCCTTTCCTTACAGCCCATAATCTCTTCTCAAGTTGTCCCCCAGCATCCCAGGGAGGAACATGAGCAGCTGTCAGCTGGGGTTGTTTTTGTGTCTGTGTTTCAGGTACTATTTCATCATGGTGGCCATGTTCTTCACTGTCAGTGTGGTGAATAACTATGCCCTGAACTTAAATATCGCCATGCCGCTGCACATGATCTTCAGATCAGTGAGTACTGTCATACCATCCTTTTCCTCCTCATGTGACATCTCTTCCCATCATCTCTGCAAGCCCTGTCCCTGGTGCATGTGTTCTGCCACCCTTCTCTTTTTCTCTAAGGGCACCAAAACCTTGTGCAAATATTGGACTCCAGCTATTTTTGGGGAGAGCAACCTTGTTTTGAAGGCTCTGCTCCAGTTCTCACTTTCACAGTGTTGATCATTAAATTTCAATTTAATGGACAGATGAGTGTCCCTGCTGATGGCAGGGGGGTTGGAACTGGATGATCTTTAAGGTCCCTTCCAATCCAAACCATTCTATGATTCTATGAGGAAATTGAGGCTCAAACAGGCTTCATGTTTCCAAAAGTGATAGGGAAGTAAAATGACAAAACCAAGCCCAGACTCTGGCTGTCAGCCCTGGATGGTCTCAGTTGCTGGCCAAAGGGACCCAGCCTTCCCTTAGAATCACAGAATGGTTTGAATTGGAAGAAACCTTCAAGATCATCCAGTTCCAACCCCCCTGCCATCAGCAGGGACACCTTCCACTAGACCAGGTTTCTCAAAGCCTCATCCAACCTGGCCTTCAACACTTCCAGGGAGGAGCAGCCACAGCTTCTCTGGCCAACCTGGGACACTGGCTCACCACCCTCACACCAAAGAATTTCTTCCTCAGATCTTATCTAAACCTACCTTCTTCCACTTTAAAGCCATTACCCCTTGTTCTATCACTACCTGCCCTTGTCCAAAGTCCCTTCCACCACACAGCTACACCAAGTGATTCATGTCCTGCTGTAGGTGTCTTGGTGAAACACCCCAGGTCACAGAGCATGGATTTGGCCCAGTTCCACCTGTGCTGTTGCTGCAAAGGCCTTTGCTTTGGAAAATGCTGTTAAAATGCATCTCCACTTAAGCGTAGATGAGTGTCAGGCAAAAAAAAACTGTTAAAACCACAGAAAATGGAGCCCCAGCTATTGGGAATAATAAAATCTCTTGGGCAGATCTGCTGGGTGGAGGCTGTTCTCCCACAACACATCATGGGATTGAGGTACCTGAAGTCAGAAGAAAAAACAGACAACACCATAGGAGCCTTGTCCCACATTAACCATGAAGAATGGTTCTTATATGACAACCTTGCAGCTGATCTATGGAGCCACAATCCTGCTCCCAATTAAAACCAGAGCAATTTGGCCATGTTCCAGGCTGTAGCATACACTGAGTGTCACAAGTGGGCCAATAAAGAAGGAGGCCCACTGGCCAGAAGATCTTAGTAGCCTGTTAGCACCAGCATCCTTGTTCCCAAGCCACCCAGTTCAACTTCTCCCCTCCTTCTAGCTAGAATGAGACTGTCCCCACCCTGTCAGTCTCTTCTGGCATTTCTGTTGGTGTTTTGGCTGTAAAAGGGAAAGATTCTCTTAAGAAAATGCTTATAGGTAAAAATGTAATTGAGTTGTCAATAAAACAAACCTAAAACCCACCGAGTGAGTTGAATTCCTTTAACATTGGCCTTAGTTGTGTTGAGTTTGTGGTGTTTCTCATCCCAGTCTGTGGAATTTTGTTATGCTGACCTTCTGTTTTGTTTTCTTTTCCTCCTCTTTCTTCTTTCCCAGGGCTCTCTCATAGCAAGCATGGCTCTAGGTATCATCATTTTGAAGAAAAGGTAAATCACAAACCTCTTTCTTATATCATCAGAGAATCCTGACTAGTGTTTAGTGCTCTCCCCTTCCCTGTTGAACATTCTTGTGTTACTGATGGGGAAACTGGGATGCAAAGATGTGCCTGGACTAGAGGCTTGAATAGTTCCCTCTTCAACATTTCCACCACCCCTCACTTCATTTAAGACAAGCATGGACTGAAGAGAGAGCTTTTACACGTGGCTACAGCCCTCTACATTAGCTTGTTTCTTTCCTTTTAATTTTTTGAGGCCAATACCACTCCTGATGGATGGATCTGGCTGGGATGGAGTTAACTTTCTTCATAGCAGCCCATATGGTGTTGTGTTTTGCATCAGTGGCTAAAACAGTGTTGATAACACGCTGATGTTTTGGCTGTTGCTGAATAAAGCTTACACAATGTCAAGGCTTTCTCTTCTTCCCCACTCTTCCTGCCTCCCTGGCAAATAGGCTGGGGGTGGAGAAGAAGTTGGGAGGGGACAGCTGACCCAAAATGGCCAAAGGGATATTGTGTGTCATAAAATGTCACGTGCTGCGATAGAAACTGGGGTAGAGGAAGAAGGGGGTTGGATGGAGCTGGCTTCCAAGGTGGTCGTGCTTATGGGAGGTGGTGAGTGTTTGCTTTGGCATTGTTTTTGTTGTTGGGTTTTTCACCCCCTTCACATATTAAATTCTTTAGCTCAACCCATGAATTTTCTCATTCTTGCTCTTCTAGTTTTCTCCCCCATCCCATGAGGCTGGGGGAATGAGTGAGCAGCTGTGTGAGTTCTTGGCTGCTGGCTGGGTTCAACCCACCACAGTGGGCAAAGATATGAGGACAGGAGGTTCATCCCAGCTGCTTGGGGTCTGGCTGTTGGACCAGTGTGGGCACATCCCCTGTCACTCCATCTCTATGCAGAGATCCTTGCTGGCTTTGATCTGAGAGGGATCCTTTGCCACAAGCAAGGTGGTCTCTATCCAAATACTTCTTCTTTGGAGTAAGTTTGCCTTCCCCCCCAGCAATGTCCATGTCAAGTAGTGGGTATGTGCTCATTTCCCCAAGGTGTGATGGTGGATAGTACAGTGCAAGGGAGCAGTAGATGAACAACGTGAGGCTGGGCTGTATCACTGACCTCTGTCTTCTCTTCTGTGCAGATACAGCGTATCTAAATACACGTCCATAGCCCTGGTGTCCCTGGGGATCTTCACCTGCACTTTCATGTCTGCAAAGCAAGTGGTAAGGATTGGAAAGGGCCTGAGGTCATAGCTGTGAACTGTATTGACAGGAGGAGCTGCTCTCAGCACCTTCATCAGGAATTCCCTTTGCCTGCCTGTTAATGGGAGACAAGATATCTCCAAGCTCTAGATCTGCTCCCGGAAAGCTCTCATTCCTAGTCTCATTTTCCTGTGGTTTGGAGGGGAGGCACACACATGCATGTGATTTCACTTAATTACAGATGCCTTTTTATCCTGTGTTGTTCAGGTTGCTTTTTGCTGAGAATATACCATTAATTTTTTGCCACAGCTAGAAGCTCTTTCCTCTTGCCCTTACTTCAATGTGTTGCAGGTAGGAGCAGGTGAATCTTAAACAAAACTCAACCATCTTAAATCTTTGCCCTTTTTTATCCCAGAAGAGATTGTTGGTTTTCAGGGTAGATTTTTCCAGACCTGTTGTCGTCCAGCATCATTTTCTGTGACCCTTGAAATAAAGTGCCTGTATTTGGAGAACAGGAAGGAGTGAAGAAAATCCATGGCTACCACCACTTTGGGCTTTTCTTGGGTCAGCACTCACAGCCTGATCTTGTCAACTGAAGACAGAAATATGGCATCAAGTGGTGGTCAAGTGAAAATTGGTTGCATTTAATCCAGAGATTGGAAAGAAACAGGGCTGTCAAACCTCAAAGTCCCCCATCATTTAATAGCTATTTATACTCTCAGGGTGTCTGAGGAAGGTCTGTGCTACGCAGCCTTGCTCTGTATGAATCCAGATTAACTCTCAGCAGTCATGGGGTTTTGGTATAGTGCAGACAGTTGTGGCCAAGGTGAGTAATCTAATTTGCCTTAAACCATAGTGAGAGAGTTGAGCCAAGTCATGCTACCTGGAGTTTTACCCTCAGCTGACAGCATCTACAGGCCTGGTTTCCTCAATGTCTTGACCACAAGCCAGAGCCCTGATTTTAGTACCTGACTGGGGCTTGGCCAGAGTCCTTGTTCATAAAATCATGGAATGGTTTGGGTTGGAAGGGACCTTTCAAGGTCATCTAGTCCAACCCCCCTGCAGTGAGCAGGGACATCTTCAACCAGATCAGGTTGCTCAGAGCCCCGTCCAACCTGACCTTGAATTTTTCCAGGGATGGGGCATCTACCACCTCTCTGGGCAACCTGGGCCAGAGTCTCACCACCCTCAGTGTAAAAAATTTCCTCTTTATATCTAGCCTAAATCTCCCCTCTTTTAGTTTAAAACCATCACCCCTTGTCCTATTGCTACAGGCCCTATTAAAAAGTTTGCCTCCATCTTTCTTCCAGGCCCCCTTTGAGTATTGAAAGGTGCAATAAAGTCTCCCTGGAGCCTTCTCTTCTCCAGACTGAACAACCCCAACTCTCTCAGTCTCTATTCATCAGATGTTCCAGCCCTCTGATGAGCCCTTGTTCTTTCCTGCACACCCACCTCTGAGATGGGGACAGAGGAGCCTGCCCATGGGCTGTCTGTGGGAGCTTTCTAAGTGGCACTGGTTATTTTTGTGGTTGAAGAGTCCAGACTCTGGCCAAGCCACAGCATTTCCTTCAGAGAAAGTTGCTTTCTTGATCAGACATTGACACTTTGGCTGGAATCTTGTGCATTCCCTGAAGCAGAGTGGAAAGCAAAGTGTGTGCTGTATCAGCACCTCTGTTCAGCCAGGGAAGCCACTCTGGAGAATGCAAAACCTTGGACAGTCTTTGCTTTATGGGCTTGTTTGTAACACAACACACAAACCAAGTACAAGGGAAGTACAGGCAGGTCCAAATGAGCTGCAGGGATATGGTAGCTCATGGTGACTGTGTCGTGTCTCCCCCCACCAGGCATCTGACTCCAGCTTAAATGAAGAGGACGGACTCCAGGTTTTCTTGTGGTGGCTGCTAGGTATGTGAATGCCACATCTCCAGCTGACCTTACTGGGATACTGGCAAGACTCAGCTCTCTGATGTCCTTGGACATGTGGGTTGTCCAAAGCAGACTGTGGTGGGAATCCTTGCGCTGAAGTTAAGTTGTGCTGAGCATCTGGTAGATGTTGGTTTGGAAAGAAGAGGGTTTTGTGGCACTCATTAGCAGCTTTGTGCAAAGAGATACTCTGTGTTTGGCCAACAGTAAATACAACACCTAAGAGGTTTCTACAAGGTAGTAGCTTACTGACAGGAGACTCCAGTCATGCATGTTTGCAGATCTCATGGTGGTTTCTCTCTGCAAAAGCAGCCCTACCTGATACACCTGATGCTGGGAGCAATGCTGCAGAGAGGGGGAAGGGCTGTAGCTGGTTCACGTGTTCATTCAGCACAATATTTCATGGAGGAGTCTCTACAGTCTGGCACTTGACTCTATTTTTTATACCTCCAACCTAAATCTGGTGGTGGCTTTTCAGGGAACCTGGGATTGATGTATGGTCAGCGTTGGCAAATGTCTGTATCCCTGGTGTCCCACAAACTCTGCTTGCCAGGGCTGAGTCTCTTTTTAAAGAGATGAATCTTTTCCAAAGTCTCTTGGCATCTCAGCCTTTGTCATAAGACTGTTATCAGTTTTCTTATCAAGTCTGGATGTTTTGGTGTTTCACCAGAAGCCAGATTGTAGGATTCTTCAGGCGGGTTGACTTGAGCTCTGCCATGCTTGAGCAGTGTTGGAAGGCTGTGCTTCTCTTCCAGGTATTGCTGCACTCACCTTCGCCCTCCTCATGTCTGCCAGGATGGGGATTTTCCAGGAGATGCTGTACAAGCAGTTTGGGAAGCACTCCAAAGAGGCCCTTTTTTACAATGTAAGTCACCGTGTCTTTTTCTGTTACTTTTACTGGGCTGATACAACTGCTGAGAGAGTTCCTTCACCTCCCGCCTTGTACTGGGCACAAATCCAAAGGATCACGTGCTGCAGGGCTGGAGCAGTGAAGAGTCTGCTCTCATCCAGATCACACAG